TCCAATGAATTTTCTCTCTGGCGGGTAGATTTTACCTCTGAAGGAAAAAGTTTTGTCTGAGCAAATGTGATTTTTGTCGCTTATTTCATACTGAGAGGTCATGACACGCATTTTCGGCAGTTATTGTTGTTTCTGGTCGGCATGATTTGTCCTTTAATGCAAGAGCATTTCCTTTGACCTCTTTTCAAATGCAATGCTTTTCATTGCGGCTAAATAAGGGTTTTAGGTTGTTTAATTTTCTTTAAAGTGCCTCATGGATCCGAATAATTATAAGCCACTTTCTTTTCGTCCGTGAATGTGACGGTTCCTACGATGTTTTGTCACTCGATAACTACCGCTTGCCTGGCTTTTGCGTTTCTCATGACCAGGTTTAGATTCTTGGTAACTGTCTCCAGCAAAGACACAACAAATGGATATACATTTAAGCGTCAATATAACTATTCGCAACATGTTCATGAGCTGTAAGCAAGTTGCTCTTTAAAAATAAACCGAAACCTGTGGACATTGATAAGTTCGGGGGCATTTTGACGTGTGTTTATTTCAAATCATGTCTTGTTTCGTAACGGGCACTCCCAGGCCTGGGACACTCCTAAGTTACGAACCAATGTCTTGCTGTTTATCACGTAAAATTAACACTTCAGAGAAAAATAAAAACTAAATATTCTGAAAATTAATTTAATTGGACACTTCTAAAAAGAATCAGTAAAGTCAATAAAGCTCTTGTTATGTAGAGGGTGCCCAGCTTTGTATTCCTCAGTAGACAAGTTGAGCTTGGGCGTTAAAATAATAGAGTTTTTTCTGCGTAACGTCCTGCCTGTCTTAAATTTTCAGCGACGAAACAGTTCTTTAAAGAAAATTGAAGCAATTGACAATGGAAGAAGTATACGGTTGATACCATATCCTTTTCAGATTTATTCTACTTTTTTTTGGCCTTGTATAAATTGACCTGAGACGAAGCGTCCTCCTTCCCTTTTTCTTTAGAAGGCGCGAGAAAAAGGTTCCTTTTTTATAATCAGTCCTTTTTTGTAATCAGTCCCATAAAATCCATTCCATTCCTCAAGTTTTCACGAGATCATTTGCGGTCAACTTTGGGGATCACTTGCGGTCGAGGATCATTTGCGGTCCATTTTGGGGATCATTTGCGGTCTCGGGATCATTTGCGGTTGGGGATCATTTGCGGTACTGTACATCTTTGAAAGCATCTGCTTAGTGCTATAATTACCTTAAGTTAGTAATAAACTCGCGTTATTTTCAACCTGCTGTTTTTTATCCCTTGTTAAAAAATAATAGATTTCCCACTGTATATCGTTTTGTGTAGTTTTCTGTTTTTTTCCCGGTATCCCTTCAATGTGAATAACTATTAGTCAGTGAAACTGAAAAAAATATGAAATAGGCTTCTCAATGTACAGAAATAGCCCAATGATAACGTAGAAAGACTTTCAATATCTCACTATATTAAGGACCAGTTTTAATCGTGCTTTACTTGCAGGAAAGAAGGTGTTTTGGTAAGTACAGGCAATTATTCTACTAATGCGGTCTTTACTTTTGTTTTACTAGAAGCGTTATTTAGTTTCGTTCCGTGACAGAATATCGCAACAAAATATAAACAAATTGGATGGGCTGTTTTCGTGTAGCCTGCGCAGCTAGCGGGATTGAGGTACCTACTTAATCGGCGGAGCTGCCACGCGAAACGAGTGGCGAGGCCGCTGTGGGCATTCTCTCTCAATCTTCTCGCAGGGTACCCCGCCAGAAAACTACAGCAATCGCGCGCGCGCTACTTCTGCCAGCCCTGCTTGAGTAACGTGTTGAGTAATTTGCTCTTTGACCCCATCGAGATGGGTTTTGTAGTGTTTTCATTGATAAGAAAACGGTGAATTACGTTACGTTTACAAATTTTTCTAACATATTTAAAAATATTTTAAAATATCTCATATCTCGACGTAACGTGCGGTCTGATAAAAGTGAATTGTAATCGACTAGCCTTCCGGAAGATTTCAAACAAATTACATGTAAAAACAATAACTTTTCTTAATTGTATCCGTTTTACTCCGACGCTCCATGGCCTCTTTATCAGAAACGCGCGTACTGTTGTAGGCAAGTAATAACGTTCTTTAATTCGCCCACAGAGCAATATCAAAATCCAGATCTTAGAGGTGCTTGATAGTTTGTGATACACTGTTCCCTGCTAGCAGATTCTCCTTTTCGGTTAATTCTGCTAGTAGGGAAGACACACTGCTACACTGACGAGAAGTTTTTAAAAGCCTCAGCAACTATAGTAACCACATCTGGTAAGTCATATTGAATCAGACATTACTCGTAGTCTAATGAAGGCATATCATTAGTAAAGGCTTTTAGTTCCGTAAATGCACCAATATTATAGGGTAAAGTTTCTTCATTCTTTATTTTTCACCACCCCTCTAGCAAAATTTTACCTCCTCTTTGTCGGCAGGTTGGGTAAGAATTTACAGAGAGTCAAATGTGAATGAAAGACCAGATTAAAAAGTAATAATAATAATGATAAAGAATCAGTCTCAATTGTTGCAAGAAAAATGCGAATCATTTGTCACTTCATCCACGCATGACGATGGAACATAATAAAAAAGCTAAGGATTATTTAAAATATTAATAGAGCAAGATCAGAACTTTTTGAAGCCATTTGCACTTCGTGTTTTATATATCAAGTTTGAAACGCTTGGCTCGCCTCGTGCTTTAAAAACTCTTTGCCTCGTTTACACCTGTAGAATTCATAATCACCCTGATATTTACCTTGAAGTCGGGCATCGAGGGCCAATTATTATAAAGACAAAAGAATAACAAAATTTGACGCCATTTTGGAGTAAGATGCATTATTGAAATCAAAAATAAAAATTTTCAAAAGACAAGAGCAACGATCTTACCCGATATTTGCTTTTGAAGCCAATCTCGTTTTGAGTCTTTCTTATCCTTGTCCGGAGGAACCGCTTCTGAAGAAGCCAAAACCAGAACCACAAAATTCTTGTTCCGGTTTAATTGCGCCTGCGTGAAGTGCAGTTGTTTACCCATTGGTGACCTAGGGGCGTTCTCAAGGGAATTTTTCACAAAACCACGCTTCATTGGCACATTCATTCCAAAGCAGTTTTCTTTACGTTACCTTCAATATTGAAGCATTTAGTGAAAGAAGGAAGACAGAAAAATAAAAAAATATCTTTAAAACGCGGCTACAAGAATGATCCATTTGTACACCGACAACTGCAACATTCGTTACATTGTGTTTCCAACAACTGAAACATTCTTCAATAATGACGGCACACCTTCTTCCGCGCTCGTTCCACGGCTAAAATGAACGAGCACAGCTGTCAAGTCTGTAAATTAGGAATTAAACAACATAAAAAAACTTGGAAGAAAAGTAAGCCTTGAAATAATGGTTCAGTTTTATAAAAAATTACTCTACTACTTTGCCTCAACTAGAAGTGTATGTCTTTAACTTTCGAAGGCCATGATGGAAACAGATTGCAACTCGAAAAAAAATGGCCCTATGTTGTGGAAAAATTACCAAAAACTATGATTTCTTTCTTTTCCCTTTCGATAAAATCCTTTACATATCTTTCTTTTAGAGTTCCAAGTATGATAAAAGATGACTGAGACTGAGAATACTTAGTTAGCTTTAACTATATCAAATCTCAGCTCAGCTTTGACCAAAAAATGAGGAACCCATAATGACATATGAAGCCCATTGAAAATTAAGACGAAGGGAATTTTTTTACCAAACGCCACTGTAGCGTGCTTTCGTAACTGCTTTATAGCACAAAAAAACTGTTTTCTTAACGGTTTCAAGTCGTACGACCTATTGATGATCACATAAATGACATGTCTAAATCAAAACGAAGTGTTAAAGGTGTTTTAATTTACAGGTTAATTTGCATGTCATGAAAACATTTTTATCAGAAAATCAGAGATGGCCTTTTTCAAGATTTAGTTTTTTCAGGTTGGTGATGCTCTGGTGCTGACCAAAAGGATCGCAGGCAACGAGATAATTTTGACGCAATCTCGTACCCAGAGTCTTCTGGCCGAGTTTTTGTCAGTGGCGCTGACCAAAAAAACCAGAAGATTGATTTTGACACAATTTTTATTCCCAACATGCAAAGAAATAATTTTGTAAAGTTTGAAAATAGACTGCTTTCTATTATCGTTATCTCCATCTTTATTGACTATTCTTAAATTTTTTTTTAAAGTTTATTATCAGATATTTCGATGGCTAGAATTGCGGCTTTATTGTAAATAGCTATATTGTGGGGGTGTGTTCTGTTTTAATTTGTATTTGCGTTTTTTTGTCAGTAATTTTTAGTTACATTTATGAGTTACCCTCTCAAAATAAAAGTCTTTGCTACCTACTTACCTACCTACCTACCTACCCAACCACCCACCTACATACCTACCTACAACCTCGTCCCCAGGGCTTTTCCCTTAGAAAATGGGTGGGACGCCCCACCCATCTTTAAAGGGAAAAGCCCTGGGGACGAGGTTGACCTACCTCCCTTGATGCTAATGCCATAATAAACCCTTTTTTATATATATAAGAATATATTTTAGAGGAATATCAAGGCTGAAATTTGCGAAATTTTAAGAATATCTTAAGAATAACCCCAGGTTGAGACTATGAAAATGATAGAGTTTTGTGTGGTGACAATCTATAAATGCAATACAATAATATGTTTTTAACTTACTCCTTTCTCCAAACAGCAAAACTAGCCAACAAAACGAAAAAAACTGCACCAACTATTATTGATACCCCTATGTATTCTTATATCTAAAACGGAAATGTCATAAGCTATAAATTTAAAAATAATACAAGAATATTTTCAGCCGAAAATCAGTAGAAAATAAAAATATTCAGCCCGGGCCGGGAAAACAACATTCCGTATAAAAACAAGAGTGTAACTGCTTTTTTTCCCCGTTTAATTTCAGCAGGAGTAGATTGAATTAAATAGACCGTCATTCACTCAAAGGGACACAACAAGAAGATGGAACTGTAAGTATCTATGAGTGTCTCATACAGTTATTTTGACTAGAAAAGTCCAATGCGTGAACCCCAAGATAGGGTATAGTTATTAGTCTCTCTTGCTTTATAGGCGAGACTCTAAAAATGCAAGCGTTTTATTGCTTTTTTTTTTTTCGTATGTGCGCGTCATAAGGAGGTCATGCTCCCTAGCGTTGCTGGCAGAGACCGTGGAAGCTGGGGCTAACAATCACGACGTGTCGGACTTAATTGAATGCAAATGAGTCTTGTGATGAGCATGCGTGGTTTATTTTCGGCGATTATTGAAATGACGCGCCATGTTCATCACGTTTTTGCTTTCTGGCAATGACGGAAATTTCTCTCTAATCGAGGCCCTTGACTTTCGTGTATGTATACGCGCGTACTCAATCAATTCAGGAACAGGTCGTCGAATATATGCGATATAAAAGGTAAATATCCTCAAGAATACTCGACCATCGATAAAGTAGGAGGTGAAAGACTTTTAGCGAGAAAAGCCTGTTTCCTGTAGAATTGATCGCCTCCTCATTTCTTATCTAATCTCCAAGCAAGCGAGGCTTAACACTTTTTGCGTTCTTGTTTTGTCTTGATTGCTACCTGCCACTGCATCACGGTATCCTAAGAAATGAAAGTAAATCAACGACTACCAAGGTAACGTGTACAGAGTGAGGATAATAGCACTATATGATACCTGGAGAATTTCTGACATAAAATCCCTACAGATATTTATTTAAGGCGATAACATATCACGACATCTACTGAAGAGTTCGATGACAAGGTATATCGGAGCACCTAAATTTTCAAACCAGTTTTTCTAAGCAAACCTGTCATTCGATACTGTCTGACCGTCTGAAGCCCTTTGTTCCTGGCCTGAGAAAGTTTGTTTATTAAAAATCATGAACCTTTCTAGGTCTGTCGGATCAAAGAAGGCAAAAAGCTCAAGAATTTATTAATCAGTTTATTTTGTGCTTTGCGAATACTTTAAATTTTTACGAATAATTAGCAGGAGAACCGAGAAAGGAAAAAGAAAGAAATTTATGATATTTCTGGAAGTTAAGATTGATCGAAAAAATCTCTGGCATTTGTTTTTGTTGCTTCTACAACATTAGTGACACCACACAGCATTACCCTCACCGTCCGTCAAAACCTAGTGTTTTTTTTATCTTCTCTGCGGCATCAAAGGAGAACAATACAAAACCTCAGAGCAGGACTCCCCTGAGATATAAATTAGTATGGGCCGCGAAAAGGGAATTAGATTTTTTTCATTTTGTGCTAACATCATGTGTGAATTTTTAAGACGGACCCACAAAAGCCAGGCATCCAATAATAAAGGATTAAATTAACTGCAAAAACCGTGTACGAAAATTCTGCTAGTTGTAAAAGTTGGATCTCTAGAAAAGAGATCTAACCAGCCAAAATATAAAAAACCAAAAACGAGAAGTCCAAAGTCTACTGCAAAGCTGATTCAGAACAACGTGTATTGTTTTTTCATAAAAATATTTCCGCTGGCCATACCAGCCTTCTTCAGCCAGTTTGCAGATGTTACTGAACTTATGTAGGAATCACGTATTATATCAATAAATTAAATTAAATTATAAATTATATAATATTGTGATTCCTACATAAGTTCAGTAACATTTGTAAACCTGAAGAAGGCTGGTATGGCCAGCCCAAACATTGTTATGAAAAAACAATACACGTTGTTCTGAATTAGCTTTGCAGTAGTCTTTGGACTTCTCGTTTTTAGCCATCCAATAGCCTGTGTACAGCTGCCCCCTCCTCTCAGAAAAAAATCGAAGAAGGGGCCCCTTCTCCGATTTTTTTTCTGAGGGGAGGTGGCGGCTGTACACAGGCTAGCTGCCCGCTAGCATCTAACACGTTAGTCTTTTTTATTGCTTTATCTTTGGAAAAGAGAGGAACAATATCAGCCTAGTCCCCAGGCGTTCTCTGTTCCGTCAAACATGGACCCTAGGTGACGTCACTGAAAGTGATTAGCACAGACCCTTCCCAGACTTTGTTCGGACAACGATGCAAGATAGAATGCCTGGGGACTAGGCTGGGGCGGAATTACTGAGCATTAGATCCCATCGGCCTGAACCCTTGGACACCATATGAATTTTACACAACGTAGTATTCTTTATTGCTTTCACACTACACTTAGATGAAATTTCTAAGTCTCGTAAAATTTCTGCTCAGCAAATGTTCTTGAAAGTGTTAAGTCTCTTCAACTTTTAAGGAAGAAAAAGAACAGAAGAGCGTGTGCAAATATCGAATTCCGGAAGGTGGTGACCGTAGTTCATTACCTATGCCACTACGCCACTGAGGATTGGCTGGCCAGAGTTGGTTTGATTTGAAGCTATATAGCAACAACCCTAACCCTAAATAGAAGCTAACCGTTTCGAGACAGTGCTTAACCCTAAATAATAATTTCAGTGCTTAACCCTAATCAGTAGTATCACGTGCTTTTATGGCGAGCGGACGGGTATTTTTCACTGGGTGAGCTCCGTTATATGTAAAGTCTTTTCTTATTGCATTTCTTCGATTGCATTTTTGTCTTAGTTTAAACATTTACAGAGTCCTTTCGCTTTTTTAGCCTAACTATGATTAATACGATTACCTAATAATTTTAAGATTTACTGTAGTTCTGTCATTGATTTTTGCATTTGTAATTATGATAATAGTTTGTATAATAAAATAACTGAGGGAGCCCATTCCTTATAAGCCCGGTGGCTCCCCTTTGGCTTCCTCGCCATTAGCGTTTTAAATAATTAGATTTTCTTGCTCTTGTACAACTTATGGCAAAACAACAAACTAAAAGTGAACTTGAAACAGTATAGACCTTTGTCACGCGGCGGCCATTCTGTCTCAGGAGATTTAGAAAGCCTTGTTTATGCTAGCCTGCGAACGGCAGACGTTTCTCATCGTTCATCGCCGCTGTGGGACTTTTCGCGAGGAGGAATGTCTGCGACTCAGCGACAAAAATTCCATACTGATGACGTAACTCAATGTTTACTTAATAAATCCGGTCGTCACGGGGTTCCAAATGCAAATTTGTTCAATTTTACGTTTCTCCTGATCGATTTTGGAAAAGTGTTGTGCTCATCTGAATCGAATGAGCTCCAGCAAAACTCAAATTCTTCTTCTAGAGAAGACTATAATCCACAAATATGGACTGTTTTGTTAGAAATTCATCGCGTTTACATTTGACCTTTGCCGCCTTTTTTTTTTTGTCTGTCACTCGTAAACAATAGCTAGAACAATGAAACTACTCCGTCGACCAATTAGCGCTTCTGACCGGATTCCGGACAGATTTTGCGTCATCAGTATGGAATTTCTGTCGCTGAGTCACAGACGTTCCTCCTCGAGAAACGGTCCTCAGCGGCGATGAGCGAGGAGAAACGTCTGCCGTTCGCAGGCTATGTTTATGCATGGCTAGCCTCGTTCTCTCTACAAGGCTAGCCGTGCATAAACAAAGCTTTTTAAATCTCCTGAGACAAAATGGCCGCAGCGTGACAAAGGTCCATTGCTTAACCCTCCTCGTTATGTTGTTTTTTCGGCTTTATTCTCTTAGGGAGCTTGATGTGCACAACGAAGATGAAGTTCTGCTAACAAGTCTTTTTCTCGTCTCCCAATATCTTCGCAACACAAATCGGGTTCCAAATGCTATCGAGATGTGTAAAGATGTTTTGTTTCTTCTCGAGCATAAGACACTAGGAAATATAGACCAAACGTGTGTCAAACGTTTTGAGAATGTTCACTGTCACCCAATAAAACGCGGCACAAAACGTCTCTTCACTTTCCGACAAGTTTTCGCGAGAAAAGTGGAACTAAGGACAACCTGTACACTGGCAGAATTATACCAAAGTCAACGTAAATACAGTGAAGCAGAAGGCCTTTACTTAAAAGCAATACACATCGCAGAGAAAATTGGCGACAGGAAAATAGAAGCCACAAGCTATGTAAACCTAGCAAATATCTTCTATTCTCTTGGTGAATATGTCAAGGCTATAGAACATTGCGAAAAAGCACTAGCAATCGCAGAGAAAACTAGAGACAGGGAAATAGAAGCCACAATCTTTGAAACCCTAGGAGGTATCTTTTTTACATTTCCTGACTATGTCAAGGCTAAAGAACATTGGGAAAAAGCGCTTGCAATCGCAGAGAAAATTGGCAACGGGAAAATAGTAACCAGAAGCTATCGAAAACTAGGAGTTATGTTTTTTTATCTTGGTGAACATGTCAAGGCTAAAGAACATTGCGAAAAAGCAGTAGCAATCGCAGAGAAAACTGGCGACAGGAAAATAGAAGCCACAAGCTATGAAAACCTAGGAGGTGTCTTTACTTCACTTGGTGAATATGTCAAGGCTAAAGAACATTGGGAAAAAGCGCTTGCAATCGCAGAGAAAATTGGCGACGGGAAAATAGTAGCCAGAAGCTATGGAAACCTAGGAGTTATGTTTCTTTTTCTTGGTGAACATGTCAAGGCTAAAGAACATTGCGAAAAAGCAGTAGCAATCGCAGAGAAAACTGGCGACAGGAAAATAGAAGCCACAAGCTATGAAAACCTAGGAGGTATCTTTAATTCTCTTGGTGAACATGTCAAGGCTAAAGAACATTACGAGAAAGCAATAGCAATCGCAAAGAAAATTGGCGACAGGAAAACAGAAGCCACAAGCTATCAAAGCCTAGGACGCACCTTTAATAATCTTGGTGAATATGTCAAGGCTAAAGAACTTTACGAAAAAGCACTAGCAATCGCAGAGAAAACTGGCGACAGGACAATAGAAGCCACAAGCTATCAAGGCCTAGGAAGTATCTTTAATTCTCTTGGTGAACATGTCAAGGCTAAAGAACATTGCGAAAAAGCACTAGCAATCGCAGAGAAAATTGGCGACCGGAAAACAGAAGCCACAAGCTATGAAAAACTTGGAGGTATCTTTACTTCACTTGGTGAATATGTCAAGGCCAAAGAACACTGCAAAAAAGCAATTGCAATCGCAGAGAAAACTGGCGACAGGGAAACAGAAGCCAGAAGCTATCGAAACCTAGGACAGATCTTTTATTCTCTCGGTGAATATGTCAAGGCTAAAGAACATTTCGAAAAAGCACTTGCAATCGCAGAGAAAATTGGCGTGGGGCGAATAGAAGCCCTTTGCTATGGAAGCTTGGGATTTATCTTTTTCTCTCTCGGTGAATATGCCAAGGCTAAAGAATGCATCGAAAAAAACTTGGTATTGAAAAGAAAGTATGGGGATAGCGAAGACGAGTCAATTTGTCGCTTACTTCTCTCACATCTTATGTTAAAAGAAGGCAACATATCTGAAAGTAAATCAAACGCCTTTGTCAGTTTTAATAAGGTAGAAGATATTCGACGTCTCCAAGTACATGATAAATTCAAGATATTGTATTTTGATCGAATGTTTAATAATTACCGTAAATTCAGTCAATTTCTTTGTGATGAAGGCTTTCCTCATGAAGCTCTTTACACGGAAGAATTTAGACGAGCGAGGGCCCTTAAAGACTTAATGGCAGCTCGGTACTCTGTAGAAAACGAAATACCAGTCAGTCCACAAACATGGGATTATATTGAAAGTATCGTCAAGAAAGAATGCAACTGTGCTTGTCTTTACATATCATACTACGAACAATCGATAAATTTCTGGGTTGTTAAAGCAGACAACCCTTTAATTTTCCAGCAAATAAAAGTAAATGATGTTTTTGGATCAGTAATCAGAGTAGCTGACTTACTTTGTCGCGGAATTTACAGAGAGGTTCTTTGCTCAGCTCCTGAACAGTGCGAGGATCGATCCTGGCTTCCCTCAAACGCTTACTGGGAGCAGGGGTGTGAACGCCCAATTTTAGAAGAAGATGAAGTTGAGAACCAGCCACCCGTGTGTACTGCTGCTGATGTCTACAAAATGATCATTGCTCCTGTAGCCGACTATCTTGATAAGCCTGAAATCATCATTCTTCCTGATCGCCACCTTTACAAAGTTCCATTTGCAGCGCTAGAAGACGAAAGTGGAAAGTGTTTATCAGAGTCTTTCAGGATCCGCATCGTTCCCTCTTTGACAACTCTAAAGCTTATTCAGGACAGTCCAGCAGACTATCACAGTCAGAGTGGTGTGCTGATAGTGGGGGACCCTGCTGTTGGTGACGTGTTGTACAAGGGAATTCTTCAGCATGTATCGAGGCTGCCTTTTGCAAATAAAGAAGCAGAGATGATTGGAAAACTGTTCGGTACTCAACCCCTGCTAGGAAAACATGCCACAAAGCAGGCGGTCCTTCAAAACATTCATTCTGTGTCTCTGATACATTTTGCTTGTCACGGTAATGCCGAAAGAGGTGAAATTGTTCTTGCCCCTCCACCCCTCACTGATGGGACACCTCAAGAAGAAGACTACTTATTGACTATGGAGAAAATTTCGGAAGTTAAACTGCGAGCCAAACTGGTGGTCCTTAGCTGCTGTCACAGTGCAAAAGGACAAATCGGTGCCGAGGGAGTTGTTGGAATTGCTCGTGCGTTTTTAGGATCTGGTGCACGCTCAGTGTTGGCGGCACTGTGGGCCATAGACGACGAAGCAACAGAACATTTCATGACTCATTTCTACGAGAACCTTGTTCATGGGGAAAGCGCCAGTGAATCCCTTCAACAGGCCATGAAGTGTATGAGAGAAAACGGTTTCTCCGAGATTTCGCAGTGGGCGCCATTTATGCTTATTGGAGACAACGTCAAGTTGGATATTCACAAGTTAAAGTCATCGAAAGGACAGTAGAAGTTGATGAACAAAACGATGGTCTTTTTCCCCAACTCCCTCGTGTTTGTCCTTAAAAATACATGATCAACTTTGCGTTTTTGTTAATGAAATAATAAACATAATGCCGATTTTTTTCGGTACAACAGTGAAGATGTCATACATACATAGATTTAAACTGAGTCTCTGATACCTAAATACAATAAGATAAGCATTTAAGATGGACAACTCCGTTTTCCTTTATGAAATAACCCGCATATAGTTGTCAGTTATAATAACTTTTCGTCTCAGGGGTCATTTAAGACTATTTGTTACAGTGATTTTTACTAACTTTTAAATCGTCTCCTGATGCCGGGGTTATAACTAATTCTTTACAGTTTTTTCTTGTTAGCAGAAAAAAATTATTAGCTGTTGCTCCAAGAATATTCACTTGTAAATAACAGGACAGTTGTGTCTTACAATACACATGCTTGTGTCCCAGCTAGATGAGATGTAGTTTAAGCAGTTGTACGACTTGTACGAGTCGTAACCGACTTGAAAACAGCTCCGTCTCTGCATCCTTTTATTCTAAGTGTCGCTAATGAGATAGGGCTTAACGTTTAGTAACACCTTATATTATTTCAGTGAAATTTATCCTATTTACCACTTGTATGAATCGCACAAATGCACTGAGAGCTTTACTCACTATGGCGATTTGTACGACTCGTACAAATTGTAGCAGTTGTAACAATCGGAATCACGACTTGAACAATTGGCGAGTATTGGATATCCTCAAACGTGATGACATTTATCAGTAACTAACTTTAACGGTTTAAACAGGTAGATACGACAATATACCTAGTGACGAAAATTTATGGTAGTCACTGCAACTGTATGAACATTAAAGATGAAACTCATTTGTTATTAAATTGTTTAAGCTACTCGTCGACAAAAACCATGATCTTCAATTTCTAAAACAGATCCTAAAATCCCATTTCTACGACTACTATCAAATGAGACCTTGTAATCAAATCTAATGAATTGCTCTTATGCATGCACGTTTTGCCGACAATGAACGTTAAGAAGTCTTCCATATATAAATTTCAAAACAGTACGTATGAGGCTTGGTGGTGAAAATTGCTAGTCTGACGTAAACATGCATAAGGGCCATTCCACTGATTATTTTATTCAATAAAATGTGATTCATCTCATCTTGCTTTGAATTGAGAGACAAACTATGTTCCAAAATAACTACTCTTAAGAGTAGTTAAAAATAAGTGATGATTGAATTTTTTCTCTTTTCTTATTTTAAAATTATTTTAATTAATTAAATAATTAAGAATTAAATTTAAGTAGCTTTTACAATACTGTATTACATTGTTACAGTCATGTAAATAAAGCTTGTTGTTGTTATTCTAGACTGGAAATGGCTTGTTGTCTGCAGAGGGTGAGGGTGGGGGTAAGGAGGACACTTGGAAGGGTCACCTGTGGTTTGCAGAGCAGAAGGCACATGTTCCGAAGATAAATCGAGAACTCAAACTAACATCTGCACGTATTTTATTCCACCTTCTATTCCACTGTTTGTATAACTTGTCAAGCATGCACGATGGTTAGTAAATCATAGTTATTAAAGTGGAATGGTTATGAAACCCGCTAGACTCCTTTGTTATATGTTTCTAATCCTTACCTTTTTTCATTCCTATAATTTGAGAGGCATCGCTATAATTTATTCCGTCACAATTTCTGAACAAAAAGCAAAGGATTGTGCACGGTGAGGGAGATTCCAACATAAACTACAGCAACGTTGTTTTCAACTTTCACGTTTACCGGATTTCATAACCAGTCTACTCTAACTATGGTTACATTTTCTGAGCAAAGGGAGACAATAAATTTACAATTAATTCAACGAGAAGTCAACGTCCAAAAAACAATTTTTTTACAGGAAAACTCACCGACTGTTTGTTATGTTAATTGAGGTGGTTCAGGTATCTCAAGAAAACGATAAAAAGTCCTTATTTGCAGGGTATTAGCTTTCTGAAACAGTTCTAGATCTAGGTGAAGATATGGTACCGACTCCGAAAGATCTCTATGGTGGCCAAGAACTGCCAATCAAAAAATCCGAATTTTTGAGGTTTATTTTTAAAGTTTATCTTTGATTATTTTCCCTTTTGTACTAATTGTAACTATTTTTCTTTTTAATTTTGAATTAAAAGATAAGTGAAGGAATAATCAAGTGAAACCCAAATAAACACGAAATGAGATCAAAGGAAAATTGAAATGAAATCAAAACAAAATCAAATCAAATCAAAATTAATTTTCGACCCAGCCGAGCGCTGCCACTACCAGCATGCATTGCTGAACTATCACATGTACGTGTAATCATCATGGCAGGCGAGTGGGAAAAGTTAAATGAAAAAGTAAGGGCAAAGAGGACCAAGAAAGATCCTCCTTAAAACCATCGACGCTCGCAATCACAGCAGCAATTTACTGGCTGTATCCCAGCAGCCATAGAAATGGAAGGGCGCTTTCCATTCAGCCCAAATTCCGGAAAGTTCGGGTAGAAATGGAACAGACCAGTTCGGTTCGGTCCGACTGGAATATTTGGGAACACCTTTGAAGGTGGTCCACTTTGGCCGGTCCGGTCATTTCGGTAGGTCCGACCGAATTGTCCTTTTCCATTTTGACAAAATTGTTTTCCCTAGTACCGCTCTTTTGTATCCTCCTTACAAGGACAATAACCAGACGCGCGGTGGCTTGGGTCGGGTCTGTGCAAACGGAATGT